TATCTACGGTCACTTTCCCATCGAGCTTTCGCATCGATCTGGAGCTTCTGTTATGCCAGTAATTCATTTCTGCTTACATTTTCTCTTCGAGAGTAATTCATTGGCGATGTGTAATATGTATCAAATCTGTAGGTATATATAAATGTGCCGATATAAAAATCTACCACTATCTGCAACCATTATCATAGTTTTCTCGTTAACGTAATGCATTCCTTTTTAGTGATTATTGTACGGATCATTAATCATTAAGTAAGATGAGTAAGGTCGATTGTAATTAGAAAGCGCTTTCTCGTGATACAATCTAACATAAAGGGATAATTGACGATCGCGAACACACAATTTAGTAGATGTAGTTTTGCAAATTTAAACGCAATTCTCTGTTTGTATATTTTGTCTTATTATTCATATAATATATTGAAAAATATAGATCCATAGAATAATTCAAGTAGAAATAGCTGCGCGATATAAGTTAATCTTGAATGGCTAAATTATATCCATCGACCATCCATTTTTCGAATAATTCGCTGCGACGTAATGTTATTTTCGCATTTGAATTAAGTCTTATCTAAATCTTTTAACATAAAACATTCTATGAATTATTATATTTACAGAAAAACCCATTTGCGCGAGAGAAATAGCCTTTCAAGATTAATACTATAAATAGTAATAATATTTCAACGTCATATAAGAATTGTAAGCAATGAATGATTAAAAATTAGTTTTATTATTGTTGTAAACCTAATGTGGAAGTTAAAACTATGTAGATATAGAGAATTTGTTCACGCTGTAGACAAGCTGAAAAGATTGTAATTTCTCATAAATTAAGTTTGTGTGTGTGTGTGTGCGCGCGCACGATTATAACACACAATTACCTGGTATATTATCATATATACTTTTCTAATATTAATCTCGATGTTTCTCTATTTTCTTCAACACTTATTCATTCTCTATTTTATATCGATTTTTCAACTAATGACCGCGATCGCTTCGGCTCACGCTGCTTTCATTTGCATTTTCTGTTTCAGCTTATATTCATTCTTTGCTTCTTAAAATTACAATTAGCACAAGAAAAAGCTTGACTTTTTTGCTCTTACATTTTTTCATAGCTTATAATCACATCTTGATTCATCGAACAATAAACCCTCAAGTTCGATTACATTCTGAATAACTCAACAACGAGCAGCTTCGTTCGAGAATTAAGCAGCTTTTCTCGACTTACCTATATATATATATATATATATATATATATATTATCGATATTTCACTTTGCATTTTTCAACATTCTTAGCGGACTTTATGATTTCAATTGTGAACTTATTCCAAGCGTCGGAAAAAAGAAAAAAATACGGTTGCGAAAACTGTGAGTTTCTTAGCTATATCATGATCATTACGTCTCGCACGTTTAGATCCCATCTCATATAAATATTTACATATATTCCTTTACGCATGCACACGATTTCCTCGGTGTTGAATATTTTATATTTCTTTTCTTTTTTTGCTGCTACGTATTTTCGAGCTACATAGGACTCTTTAATTGATTGAGTCTGATTTTTCTCCCAGTTTTATTGTGTGAACCAGAGCGATGGGACAAAATGTAATAAATGAACAGCTAAGAGATTGATAAATTAATAGCTTTTTATTGTTTGAATGTCTTGATTGTAAATGGAAAAAAAGAGTAGTCGCTCAGAGAGGAAACATGTATATAGATGCCGTTAAGTTTGAATATTTCTGAATTTTTTAAATCGGCGACAAAAGATACTTTCAGAAATTCACATGGTAGTAACAATAAAAAAAATTGTTATTTTAATAAATCGCTAACGCTATTACGTTTTACAGAAAGCAGTACTATCGAATAAAACAACTGCTTTTTATAAGATCGAATAATGGATATTATGGATATATAAAAATAAGGTAAATGAAAAAAGATAACAAGAGATGTTTCTATGATAAAATTAATAATTTATTTTACTATATAATTCACATTGCAATTGTCTCACTTAAAGCTCTGGATTATCTTCTATATTATTCCAAGCAATTTAAAAAAGTTAAAAATCGAACCATTATCGTATAGTTTCACAGGAAAACTGATTCTACAGATCAGAGCGAAATTGATTTCAAGGTTTCCGGTATCATATAATGAGATAAATAATAGAGGCTCGAATTCACGTCCGATGTTCTATGTACTTTTCTCTGCGTGATTCTTCTATGTATACCATTTGAGAAATACGATCGCCGTGCGATCGTATTCTCAAACGATTTTTCCACTTTCTTTGAGCTTTTTGAACTTGCTGATATCGTCGCACAAATATGCCTTTAGACACGTCACATTGCAGTAGATTCAAAATCACACAAATCATACGCACACATACCTACATCGCTTTCTATCGTCGTCACAGACTGGTCTTGATTCTTGATATTTAACCCGATGTTATGGATTTTTGAACATCAGCTTATTGTACTTTTGTTCCTTTTTCTTTTTTTTTTTTTTTTTTTTTTTTTGCCTTGTGACACTTCTCTAATATTACCCTTTTCTGAGTCTTTTTCTCTCTCTCCCTTTCTCTCTCTTCCCCTTTCTCTTTTTCTCCTTTTCACCCTGCCTTCCTCCCTTTCCTCTACCCTCTCTCTTTCCTTCTTTCTTTCCCTTTTTTTTTCTTTCTTCCTTCACTTTTATATCACTCACTTTGATCACATAATCCGCCGACTGAAAAATTATTCACTTACGCAATAATTACAATAGCCAATTGGAGATCGGACTATGCTTGTTTTTTCTTGCTAATTTTTTTTGTCTTGTGTGTTGATGCGCTTCTCGCAATCTTCCAAACTATTGCACGCTTACTTGTCATCGTACGGCTTTTCACGAAGATTCAAACCTAATAATGAGATTACGATATAGTGAGGATGGAAAGGGGGGAAATATTTTGACAGCATATACACGAAATAACCGCGAAAAATTCTTTTGCATATTTTTTTCTTTTAAATAACGCAACGAAAAGTCTCTTATATATATTAAATATCAAAAAATTCAGATAGGAAGTGAAGGCTAATAAGAACCAAGCGCAGTAAGTAGGCGTAATTAAATTATCTAAAAATGTTCTTAAATTACATTGAATATTTCGATCCTTTCTTGGAACCATTTTCAGCTTTCATCTTTGGTAATTCTTCTAACGGTTGTAATTGTTAAAAGATGACAAGATTATTCCGAAATGTAATCGAACATTAAAAATCGTGAAAGCTGGGAAAAATATTATAAAATCTTAAATAGAAAAATGTATAGATAAAGAATAGATACACACGAAATGATTACAAATGAGACAAAGAACAAGGTTCGAAAAACGCGTACGTCATAATGTCACTGAGATACAAGATACAATACTGTAATGACAAAATGTTATGTATAAACAAACAAGACGTAAGTAACCGCCGCATGTAGTGGAAAGAAAAAAAAATGGGGAAAGAAGGGTGGAACTTTCTTTTAATTTAATTTTTACTAGATTTTCTACAATTTTCTACTATTGTTGCGTACGTATAATGTAGATATTCCATCATTTTGTCGATTGAGATTATTTCTTTGTCACTTAATAAAAACAACATTTCCGATATTAGTCTAGCTCTTACTCAAAATAATCTCTTCATTCAGAATTTCAATTTTATTCCGTTCAAATTCGTGATTCAAAATGTGGTCTGTGATTAAAGAATATTGCGAAGTGTTTCTATTAATGTGATTACATTCATTACTTAATACGTGTTTTTTTATCTATCCGTTTGGCTTATATATGATGCAGCACAGAATCTTTACACGATATTTTATACACCACATTCTTACATGACTGTTTCGGAAGAGGGTTTTTATATATTTTGATAAAAGAGCGTAGTTTATCCAGATTGGTATAAGACATTATCACATTTTAATTACGGGTCACATATCTAAATTACTCCGAAAATACCGAAACGATATGGTAATGTGTTGGTATGGAACATACTGGACATACGATATATTAAAAAACGTGGAGTGATCCGTGTTATCGTCAATGTTAATATTCCGTTCTTTCTTTTTCGACCATTCGAAACTATTGTTAATATGATTGTGAGCCATGGGAATCGAGTTTATAGGCCAAACGATAAGAAAGATTTGTAGATAACTTAGTTGCGCCTAACTTACGCTCTTGATTCTTATTAGCCTTGCATTAAAAATATTCTCTTCGTGATTAAAATCCTGTATGAAGACATAAAACATCATTAGAGAGAGTAAACTTGAATAGAAATATTTTTGGAAACGTCACTTGGCATTTTTATTGACAATGGAAACATTGTTCTTCTAATTTTTTATTGAAGAAGAAAGATTAATATTTACAGATTATATAAATAACAATATATAACATTTCAAATTATATTGGAGGAGGCTCCGTTTGCCTACATTCCTGATTGCCAACGGCTTTCCACCGGTTTGTCCATAACATTTTGCCGACAGTTTCGTTTGCTGATATTCCCGATTGCCTACAAAGCGATTGTTCACAAGCATTATTGAATACATCTAATAATTAAAAATACGAATAATATCATGTATGCAATCTGCATATGTGCAATGAAGTTACGTATGTAATGTATTTGTGCGTAAATAAGGTCATGCGCGCAAACGTACGTTCGTATTTTTAATTATTAAATGTGCGCAATAAAAAATATATTAATTAGAAATAAAAATTATATGAAGTTTATTATGAAAATTTTATAGGGTTTATAACATTCACAAATAAAATTTATACAGGCTTTATAAATAGATATTTGGTTCCAAAAAAACTTTACTTTTCTGCAATGTTAATTTTATAGATAATGAAGCGATATTATCAACGTATATGTCAGTAAAACGAGAATAATAAGCACAGCTTCTCGTCATGCCTAGCTTTATCGATATCTCGTACTATTATATTAGGCGTTATATATGTATATATAATGATAAACTATTACATATTCGTATACGTCATGTATGTGTGTATGTTGTACAGAGGATAAGAAGGGCGGCGTCGACCGGAGCAGCACGGTCATTGCCAAAGAACCTGAAGGTAAAGTCAATTCTCGAGACCCAGAAATGTTTCAACGTTTCAACGTCTCTTTTTTTGTATATTACATATGTAACTAGCGTGTGTGCGTGTGTGTATGTATGTGTGTGTGTGTGTGTGTCTATATATATATATATATATATATATATATATGTATGTATGTATGTATGTATGTATGTTGTATGCAATCTGCATATGTGCAATGAAGTTGCGTATGTAATGTATTTGTGCGTAATAAGGTCATGCGCGCAAACGTACGTTCGTATTTTTAATTATTAAATGTGCGCAATAATACTTGTAGGCGATCGTTTTGTAGGCAATCAAGAATGTCGGCAAACGAAGCTGTTGGCAAAATATTGTGGGCAAATGAAGCCGTTGCAATCGGAAATGTAGACAAACGGGACACCCCCCAAAAAATTCAAATTATTAATATTATATATATATATTGTTTAGTTTAGCAGCGCCAATATATATATATATATATATACATACATATACAATGTTAAAAAAAAACCATTCAATATTTATATGGTAGATTGGACACACCATATATTGAGTAAAAAAAGCCTTAGTAAACATAGGTCGAAAGCTCAACCGTTTTTGAGATATAAACATTTTTGTATGTTAGCATCATGATTGACTTACTGGCTTCCACGTGTCGCATGCGATGTTTACCTCAGTGTTTATAAACATCATTCTGAATATCCTCATTCAATTTCCATACATACTTCATAACAGAAGATTTCACCGGCAATCAGTCAAT